AGGGGACGCTAAGGTACTGAGGACATTCAATAAGTACAACTTAGAGGTACTGCGTGGAGGGGACGCTAAGGTACTGAGGACATTCAAAAGTACAACTTAGAGGTACTGCGTGGAGGGGACGCTCGCTAAGGTACTGAGGACATTCAATAAGTACAACTTAGAGGTACTGCGTGGAGGGGACGCTCGCTAAGGTACTGAGGACATTCAATAAGTACAACTTAGAGGTGCTGCGTGGAGGGGACGCTAAGGTACTGAGGACATTCAATAAGTACAACTTAGAGGTGCTGCGTGGAGGGGACGCTAAGGTACTGAGGACATTCAATAAGTACAAACTTAGAGGTGCTGCGTGGAGGGGACGCTAAGGTACTGAGGACATTCAATAAGTACAACTTAGAGGTGCTGCGTGGAGGGGACGCTAAGGTACTGAGGACATTCAATAAGTACAACTTAGAGGTGCTGCGTGGAGGGGACGCTAAGGTACTGAGATACTAACTAACACCTCAGCAGCTTCAAAACCTGCTGAGAGCTCCTCTGACTGAAAATGAAGGGTGTGTGTGTGTGGTGTGTGTGTGTGTGGGTGTGTGTGTGTGTGTGTGGTGTGTGTGTGTGTGTTGTTGTGTGTGTGTTGGTGTGTGTGTGTGTGTGTGTGTGTGTGTGTGTGTGTGTGTGTGTGTGTGTGTGTGTGGTGTGGGTGTGTGGGTTGTGTGTGGTGTGTGTGTGTGTGGTTGTGTGTGTTGTGTGTGTGTGTGTGTGTGTGTGTGTCTCTGTGTGTGTGTGTGTGTCTCTGTGTGTGTGTGTGTGTGTGTCTCTGTGTGTGTGTGTGTGTCTGTCTCTGTGTGTCTATGTGTGTGTGTGTGTGTGTGTATGTCTCTATGTGTGTGTGTGTGTGTGTGTATGTCTCTATGTGTGTGTGTGTGTGTGTATGTCTCTATGTGTGTGTATGTCTCTGTGTGTGTGTATGTGTGTTTGTTTCAGCACATCATGACGGAGCCCGATGAGATCTGCACGATGTCGGGTCAGAAGCTTCCTCTCAAGATGTCCGTCGACTACATCTCCTTCTCCGCTCACACAGACTACCAGCAGACCAGCGAGTTCATCAGAGCACTGAAGCCCCCCCATGTGGTACACACACACAGAGACACACACACACAGAGAACACACACACACACACACACACACACACACACACATACACAGAGAGACACACACACACACACGGCATGCTAACATTAGCGTTAAGCTTGATACATCAAACTTTTGAGTACAAGGCAAGGCAAGTTTATTTATATAGCACCTTTCAAACACAAGGCAATTCAAAGTGCTTTACAAAAATGGAAGACATTAAGAAAATGGCATTTAAAATCAGTCATTAAAAAGAAAAGATAATAAAATAAACATTAAAAGAAAAAATACATGGATAAAAGTTACAGTGCAGTTTAAGATAGTGAATAGTTCAATTAAAAGCAAGCAGCAAAAAAGAAAAGTCTTCAGCCCTGGATTTAAAAGTAGTCAGAGTTGCAGCGGACCTGCAGGTTTCTGGGAGTTTGATTCCAGATATTTGGGAGCATAATAAACTGAACTTCTCCATGTTTAGTTCTGACTCTGGGGACAGAAAGCTGACCAGTCCCTGAAGACCTGAGCGATTCTGGATGGTTCATCATTTAGCAGGAGGTCAGACATGTATTTTAGGGCCTAAACCATTCAAAGCTTTATAAACCAGCAGCAGTATTTTGAAATCTATTCTTTGACACACAGGAAGCCAGTGTAAAAGACTTCAGAACAGGAGTGATCCACTTTCTTAGTGTTAGTGAGGAACCAGTGTAAAGACTTCAGAACAGGAGTGATGTGATCCACTTTCTTAGTGTCAGTGGGGAACCAGTGTAAAGACTTCAGAACAGGACTGATCCACTTTCTTAGTGTCAGTGGGGAACCAGTGTAAAGACTTCAGAACAGGACTGATCCACTCTCTTAGTGTCAGTGAGGAACCAGTGTAAAGACTTCAGAACAGGACTGATCCACTTTCTTAGTGTCAGTGAGGAACCAGTGTAAAGACTTCAGAACAGGACTGATCCACTCTCTTAGTGTCAGTGAGGAACCAGTGTAAAGACTTCAGAACAGGACTGATCCACTCTCTTAGTGTCAGTGAGGAACCAGTGTAAAGACTTCAGAACAGGGACTGATCCACTTCTTAGTGTCAGTGAGGAACCATGTGTAAGACTTCAGAACAGGCTGATCCACTTTCTTAGTGTCAGTTGGGGAACCAGTGTAAAGACTTCAGATCAGGACTGATCCACTCTTCTTAGTGTATGTGAGGAACCAGTGTAAAAGACTTCAGAACAGGACTGATCCACTTTCTTAGTGTCAGTGAGGAACCAGTGTAAAGACATCAGAACAGGACTGATCCACTCTCTTAGTGTCAGTGAGGACTCGAGCAGCAGCGTTCTGAATCAGCTGCAGCTTTCTAATAGATTTTTTAGTGAGACCTGTAAAGACACCATTGCAGTAGTCGAGTCTACTGAAGATCAAAGCATGGACAAGTTTTTCCAATCCTGCTGTGACATTAGTCTTTTAATACCTAGATATGTTCTTTAGGTGATAGTAGGCTGATTTAGTAACTGTTTTATGTGACTGTTGAAACTCAGGTCAGAGTCCATGACTACACCTAGATTTCTGGCTGTATCTGTTGTTTTGAACATTGCAGACTGAAGCTCAGCGCTAACTTTTATACGTTCTGCCTTGGCTCCAAAAACCATTACCTCAGTTTTATCTTTGTTTAATTGGAGAAAGTTCTGACACATCCAGTCATTGATTTGTTCAATGCACTTACTCAGTGTTTGAATTGGAGCATAATCTCCTGGTGAAATTGTTACGTAAATTTGTGTGTCATCCGCATAGCTATGGTAACTTATTTTGTTGTTTTTCATTATCTGAGCCAGTGGTAGCATAGTAGATGTTAAAGAGAAGAGGCCCCAAGATGGAGCCTTGAGGTACCCCACATGTCATATTTGTCAACTCAGATGTGTATTTACCTATAGAAATAAAGTTTTTTCTGTCCTTTAAGTAGGACTCAAACCAATTTAGAACTGTTGCCGAAAGTCCCACCCAGTTTTCTAGTCGGTCTAGTAATATGTGTGGTCAACAGTGTCAAACGCAGCACTGAGGTCTAATCATACTAACACTGAAGTTCTGCCACTGTCTGTGTTTAAGTGGATGTCATTGAAGACCTTTACAAGAGCAGTCTCAGTGCTGTGGTTTGGACGAAAGCCTGACTGGAACACATCCAAACAGTTATTTAAATGCAAGAAGTTACTCAACTGTTGAAAAACACTTTTTCAATGATTTTACCTAGAAATGGCAGGTTTGATATTGGCCTGTAGTTGTTCATTACTGAAGCATCTAGATTATTCTTTTTTAAGAGCGGTTTAATGACTGCAGTTTTCAGGGCCTCTGGAAAAATACCTGAGTGAAGAGATGTGTTTACTATATGAAGTAGATCTGAGGCCATGCAAGGAAAAACATCTTTGAAAAATCCTGTTGGAATAATATCAAGGCAGCAGGAGGAGGATTTCAGAAGTTGAATAATGTCCTCTAAGTTTTTACCATTAATCTGATGGAATTGTGTCATGGTGTTTGAATTGATATTAGGTGGACATAGGGACAAAACATTTGCTGTACCTGATGTAGAGGCACTGACTGCTTGTCTAATTTTCTGAATGTGTCAGTGAAGAAGGGCAAAATCATTGCACGCCTGGTGGATAGAAGTTCAGAGGCTACTGACACTGGGGGGTTAGTTAGTCTGTCGACGGTAGCAAACAAGGCACGTGCGTTGTTTTTGTTTTTGGTAATGATGTCAGAGAAGAAAGACTGTCGTGCGTTTTTCAATTCCAAATTATAAAGGCCAAGTCTCTCTTTATAGATTTCAAAGTGAACCTGGAGATTTGTTCTTCGCCACCTACGTTCAGCTTTTCGACACTCTCTTTTTTCTGTTCTCACGGTCATGGCCTTTCTCCATGGAGATATTTTCTTGCCAATCACTTCCTTTACCTTAGTTGGAGCAATGGCATCTATAACATCTTTAATGTTTTAATTAAAATGATCTACTAGCTCATTTACTGAGATGTTAGCAGGGGCAAGTGTGGATGAAAAATTCTGAGTAAACATTTCCCTAGTATTTTCTGTTAAATATCGCTTTGTGGTTACCTCTTTCTGAACATTTGTGTGAACAGAAATAGAGCTCTCAAAGGAATGATCAGAGAGTGCAACATCAGTCACCACAACCTTTGAGATATTCAGACCCTTTGAGATAATTAAGTCCAGAGTGTGCCCCTTATTGTGCGTGGGCTCCGCCACATGCTGAGTCAGTCCATAGTTATCAAGAACACAAAACAGTTCTTTAGCCCCTCTGTCCTGGAGGTTGTCAACATGGATGTTAAAATCACCAACAATGACTAGACGGTCAAAGTCAATACACACTATAGACAGCAGTTCAGTAAAATCATCAGAAAAGCTGCTAAATTTGATAAACTCACAAAAACGTTTGAGCACTTCCTGTTTCTAAGCTGATTTACCGCTCTTAATCTATTACCTATCAACACAGATATCGGCAAAGCTACTGGCAGGCAGGGCCCCGGCATGTGCTGGAAAGAGTTGAGAGTGCCATACGCCCTTGAGCCTGGACCCAGCACATATCAGTTTGCTGCGTTTTGTACACACACATCCCTATCAGGCTTTGAAGGGGAGGGAGGACCCACCACCCTGCTCCTCTCATCATAGGAGGGCAGGGTGAGGGCTACACTGTAGGAAGGGGGGTTTGGAAATCTGCTTTCCTCTTCCTTGTATTGTTTTGGTTTGGATGATTGTGGTAGGCATGGTGATGAAGACGGGGGAGATGGTGCGCGTCTTGTCTTCGGTGATTTTGGTGGGCGTCGTTGAGGGCGGGGGTAAAGGACATGCTGCAACCCTGCGTATCGCCTTCATGCGGTCATCGAACTCCAGGGGGGGAGGGCGAGGGTGAAAGGGTGAGCGGAGAGTAGAGAGAGCTGGGGGAATGAATGAAGAGTATCCTCAAAGGCGTTGACAGGGGGGGTGACGGGCAGTGGAGACTCCTCCATTGTGTCATAGGTCTCCCATAATCAGAACATTCCTCAGGCGGGTGCAGTGATACTTCTTCAAGGTTTTCTGCGCGATTGTGTTGTGTCTTTCTCCTGTTTTGATTTCCTCTTGCGCTTTTGTCCTATGGCAGAGGGAACAGATTGCTGACGCAGGCAAGTTGAATCTGTTAGAGATAACAATTTCACTCCTGACTGGTTTTTTTTTTCAGGCAAACTCCCTCTGCCTTCAAAAGATGTCTGCGGGTCCCATGAAAAAGTTTAAAATTGTCAATAAAAACAGGCAGATATGGTCAGTACAGACAGAATGGTCAGTACAGGCAGCTGAAAGCCACATGTTCAATGCAAACAGTCTGCTGAATCTCTCCACTCCTCTTCTGACTGGCGGTAGAGGGCCACTGATGAACACTTCCGCCATTAGAGAGCTGACCGTTTTTTCCAACAGACATTAAATCTCTTTCAGCGCTTCTGACTTCACAACATCATTTGTTCCAATATGTTAGTACCACATTCTTCACAGTCGGATGTTCAGCCCCAATATGCAGGATCTTCTCAGCCAAGTCGGAGACCATATTCTTGGGAAAACAGAGTACTTTGGTGTTGTTCTTACTACACAGACCTTTTACATCTCTTACAGCAGAGTCACCCACAATCAGAGTTTCAGGCCCAGTTGTTAGCTTTCCCTCTAGCCTTTTACTGAGTAGCTATTGGTCCTTACCCTGCTGTGTGAAGAGGACAGGTTATCCAGGTCATCAGAAACAGATCTCCGGTTCTCGGTCAGCGGAGCGTATCTGTTCTGGATTGGCACACTTGGTGGTTTAGGAGGATTGTTTGTAGTTCTCCCTTTAGCAGCTGTCCACGGCTGTTTCCTAGTATGAATAGGGGTTTGAAGAGGCACCTCTTCCTGGGTGATAACAATGCAGGCCAGCCGGTCGCATCACAGATTTCAGAGCGCTGGGCTCTGCCTGTTATTCGTCCTCCCAAATCCCATGGAAATGATTTACTCTTAGGCTTTGCACCCAGAGAGTTCCAGGGAGGACTACCACTTGTAGATTTATTACCCAGTACACAGCCCTCCTGTTCCTTGGAAACCGTGTAGCTGCTAACTAGCTGTGAGTTAGCATACCCTTTTCCATTATTTTGCAGCACTGGTAAAGTGGTGTTATTCCCACAACATAGTCCATTCACTTCCACGTTAACTTCCAACCGTTGCATTTTCATTTCCAACACAGCCATCTTCTGTAGAAGTTTGTGGAAGTCATCTGTAGAGAACGGAGGCATTTTGCTACCAACTAGCTTAAGCTAAATAGCATGCAGTACTAGGCTTTAGCTGTTGCTAGGCCACGCTACTGTAAGACTGAGGTCGTCGTAAAAATGTTGAAATATGGCTGAACCCTCCGTCTATTTACGATGATAACTGTCCCAGTGATAAGTTAATGTCCAGGAGCCGCTGCTCGAAGTTTTCAGAGAATAAGAATAGGAAAATCAGCATAAAAAGTAAGCAGAGGCAAGAGCAAGCAGAAAAGCGTCTGCACTGTAAGAAAGATAACGCACACCGAACTATTAAAGATCAGTGAGCGTTGGCATGTATCTTGTGAGACCTGAGAGTTGTGTCTCTGAGCAGATCCTGGTCCACGGCGAGCAGAACGAGATGGCCCGTCTGAAGGCGGGCGCTGATCCGAGAGTACGAGGACAACGACGAGGTGGACATCGAGGTCCACAAACCCGAGGAACACGGAGGCCGTCACGCTCAACTTCAGAGGAGAGAAGATAGCAAAGGTTAGGTGTGTGTGTGTGTGTGGTGTGTGTGTGTGTGTGTGTGTGTTGTGTGTGTGTGTGTGTGTGTGTGTGTGGGTGTGTGTGTGTGTGTGTGTGTTGTGTGTGTGTGTGGTGTGTGTGTGTGTGTGTGTGTGTGTGTGTGTGTGGTGTGTGTGTGTGTGTGTGTGTGTGTGTGTGTGTGTGTGGTTGTGTGTGTGTGTGTGTGTGTGTTGTGTGTGTGGTGTGTGTGTGTGTGTGTGTGTGTGTGTGTGTGTGTGTGTGTTATTCATTGCTCTGTCTCCCTGCAGGTGATGGGCCTCCTGACGGACAGACAGTGTGTTCAGGTCAGAGGGTCTCTGGATCCTCGTTAAGAGGAACTTCAATTATTCACATCGTCCACGCCCGCCGACCCTCTCCAGTCAGTACTCATTATACACTAACAGATACACATATCATGTGTTACATATGTCAATAACTACCTGAAGATGTGGTTCTTTATACTCTTAATAAAACATTTATATGAACGAGAAGAATTTAAAATAGAAATGAGCAAATTGTAATTTGGAGGACAAAGTCAGAATTGTAAGTCTCTCTTTCTTCAGACTGCACCGATCTGTGATGTGCTCTGTGATGTGTTCAGGTGCTCTGTGATGTGTCAGGGCTCTGTGAGTGTTCAGGTGCTCTGTGATGGGTTCAGGTGCTCTGTGATGTGTTCAGGTGCTCTGTGATGTGTTCAGGTGCTCTGTGATGGGTTCAGGTGCTCTGTGATGTGTTCAGGTGCTCTGTGATGGGTTCAGGTGCTCTGTGATGGGTTCAGGTGCTCTGTGATGTGTTCAGGTGCAGTGGTTATTCTCTCTCTCTCTCTCCAGACTACACAGACCTGTGTATGAGCACAGTGACTCAGACGCAGGCCATCCCGTACAGCGGACCCATCTCCCTGCTGGTCAGCCAGCTGCGCTGCCTCGCAGGTACATCACTACTATTATCATTATTAATGTTATTATTATTATTATTTAGTTTTTATGATATTTTCTATTTAAAAACAATTGTTATTATATATTTAATTAATTGTAACATATTGTAATTGAATCTCATTATTCCCTGAGAGACTTCTTAAAGGTGTGTATTCCCTGAGAGAGGTCTTAAAGGTGTGTATTCCCTGAGAGACATCTTAACCTGTTTCACACCTTCCCCCCGGTACCGGGCGGATAAACGCGTCATTTGCAGGAAACAACGTCTAAGGAATCTTAATATTGAATAAAACTATGAATGTGTTATATCCATGTAACGGGAAGAAACTCAGCTAACTGATCTTTTTAATTTTTTTTTTCAAAAAAAACCCACAATGCTAGCACTCAGCCTCTGAATTAGCCTCGAGCGAAAAAACGGAACTTACAAAGGCACTTAAACTCACTCATAACTCCCTTATTACTTATCCTAGATGCACAACCAACCACTCTTTTTTGGTGTCCTGGAGACACTGAATCTAACGGTGCCCTCCTCAACACTCAGTGATAAACATTCGCGACGCTATAAACGAAAGCGTACATCATCACATGTGGAGCTAAGAAGCTAAACACGTAAATATGGCTTACCTTGGTCAAAAGTGGTCTTCAATGGCATTAAAACGATTAAAAAAACGATTGTGCTGCAGTTAATCCATAGGTTCATCCTATGTGTCTGTGCCTTCTTTGAAATTATTTCTGATAATCCATAAGCAATACAACTGCGTTTTAGTTTCCAAACTCCAGAAGGAGACATTCCTCCACTTTGGTTTCGTTTTCCACACGCGAAGCAACCACATTTTTTCTTTACAACGTGTCTGGGTGGGAGCCTCCCCCTTCGATTCTATTGGCTCTAACGGTCACAAGGGTATGTCAACCAACCAAATCGAGCAAGGGGGGCCAGAGATAGGTCAAATCCACCCAAATGACCCCAGATGGCCCAGTTTTTTTTTGGCTAAATCTCTCTAAAAAGGTCAAATTTCACTTGTTTTGCATCAATCTTGATACAGGGTACTTATTATATGTTGTACTTTGGATTCCTAAAGCTTTTAGTCTACTAACCCATCATTCCAAGGGTAGTTTTCACTATCTGTAAAAATAATTTTTGGACGGACACTATAATTTACAGTTTTTTACTATGTAAAATCTGAATTTTCTTTAAAATAAAAAACATCTATATTGATTCTGACACTTCTACATCAACTCACAGGTTTATCATTACTTTGAGAAAAGATTATTAATTTAACCCTTTTTAGAAGGGAAGATATGGTCATTTGTTCTGGAATGTCATTTTCGAGCCTGAGACCTGAAAAACAGACTCAGAGTGGAACAGGTTAAAGGTGTGTATTCCCTGAGAGAGGTCTTAAAGGTGTGTATTCCCTGAGAGAGGTCTTAAAGGTGTGTATTCCTGAGAGAGGTCTTAAAGGTGTGTATTCCCTGAGAGAGGTCTTAAGGTGTGTATTCCCTGAGAGAGGTCTTAAAGGTGTATATTCCCTGAGAGAGGTCTTAAAGGTGTGTATTCCCTGAGAGAGGTCTTAAAGGTGTATATTCCCTGAGAGAGGTCTTAAAGGTGTGTATTCCCTGAGAGACTTCTTAAAGGTGTATATTCCCTGAGAGAGGTCTTAAAGGTGTGTATTCCCTGAGAGAGGTCTTAAATGTGTATATTCCCTGAGAGAGGTCCTTAAAGGTGTGTATCCCTGAGAGAGGTCTAAGGTGTGTCTGTGCAGGAGACGTGGAGCAGCTGGAGGCGGAGAGGGTCACCGTCAGAGTGTTTAAGAGCATCACGCTGGTGGCCCGAGGCCGCATGGTGCTGCTAGAGGTACGCTATTCATCTGAAGTCCTTTGGGGGAAACAAAACACGTCAGTTTTTTAAATATGATTTAAAAAGTGTTTCCTCCTCAGTGGATCGCCAACCTCTGAACGACATGTACGCCGACGCCGTCACTACGGTGGTCCTGGAGGTCCAATCCAACCCCAACGCACAGAAATGTGAGGATACACACATCTGTCAATCAAACACACGTCTGTCAATCACATCTGTCAATCACACATCTGTCAATCACACCTGTCAAGCACACACACACATCTGTCAATCACACATCAAACACATCTGTCAATCATACACACATCTGTCAATTACATCTGTCAATCACACACACATCTGTCAATCACACACACATCTGTCAATCATACACACATCTGTCAATCATACACACATCTGTCAATCACACACACATCAAACACACATCTGTCAATCATACACACATCTGTCAATCACATCTGTCAATCACACCTGTCAAGCACACACACACATCTGTCAATCACACATCTGTCAATCAAACACACATCTGTCAATCACATCTGTCAATCATACACACATCTGTCAATCAAACACACATCTGTCAATCAATCACACATCTGTCAATCAATCACACATCTGTCAATCAAACACACATCTGTCAATCAAACACACATCTGTCAATCACATCTGTCAATCACATCTGTCAATCATACACACATCAAACACACATCTGTCAATCAAACACAAATCTGTCAATCACATCTGTCAATCACACACACATCTGTCAATCAAACACACATCAAACACACATCTGTCAATCACACACACATCTGTCAATCAAACACACATCTGTCAATCATACACACATCTGTCAATCAATCACACATCTGTCAATCACATCTGTCAATCACATCTGTCAATCATACACACATCAAACACACATCTGTCAATCAAACACAAATCTGTCAATCACATCTGTCAATCAAACACACATCAAACACACATCTGTCAATCACACACACATCTGTCAATCACACACACATCTGTCAATCATACACACATCTGTCAATCAAACACACATCAAACACACATCTGTCAATCAAACACACATACACACATCTGTCAATCAAACACACATCAAACACACATCTGTCAATCAAACACAAATCTGTCAATCACATCTGTCAATCACACACACATCTGTCAATCAAACACACATCAAACACACATCTGTCAATCACACACACATCTGTCAATCAAACACACATCTGTCAATCATACACACATCTGTCAATCAATCACACATCTGTCAATCACATCTGTCAATCACATCTGTCAATCATACACACATCAAACACACATCTGTCAATCAAACACAAATCTGTCAATCACATCTGTCAATCAAACACACATCAAACACACATCTGTCAATCACACACACATCTGTCAATCATACACACATCTGTCAATCACACACACATCTGTCAATCAAACACACATCAAACACACATCTGTCAATCAAACACACATACACACATCTGTCAATCAAACACACATCATACACACATCTGTCAAACACACATCTATGTTACTGAGTATTAATAAAGTGTGTGTGTTTCTGTGTATGTGTGTGTGTGTTTCTGTGTGTGTGTGTGTGTGTGTGTGTGTGTTTCAGTCATGGAGGGGAAGAAGGAGGCGTTCGACATGGATCTGTTTGTGGAGCGGCTGGAGCTCATGCTGCAGTGAGTCACACTGTAACAGACACTTTAAAACAGTTTATTACACGGCTTAGTTGAATACTCGATTCTGATTGGTCAATTCAGAACACGTGACACGTTGTTAAATACAGACCGCTGTCAAGCACTTATTGACTTATTGTGTTGCAGCGACATGTTTGGAGACGACTGTGTGAACTTCAGAGAGGGGAAGGATCTGAGCGTGACGGTGGACGGCGTCACGGCGACCATCGACCCGGAGACCAGAGTGAGTCCATCAGTGTTTCTCAAACTGTCTCAGACCAAGGACCTCTTAGCCAATAAGAACACTCTCTCAGACCACCTGACTCCCCAAATATCCAGAGACTAAAGGCCTGCTCACTCCAACAGCTTCTCTAAACTCACTCCTACAGAGAACAGTTAGTGTTCAGCGTCATGACACCCTTCATCTGACCCTCGTGAACACAGACCACATGTTCTTCTCAGACATGAGGATTTAAAACATTTGAAAGGATACTACTTAGTGAGCCTGAAGCATCCTCTGTGCTCCAGTCAGCCTGAAGCATCCTCTGTGCTCCAGTCAGCCTGAAGCATCCTCTGTGCTCCAGTCAGCCTGAAGCATCCTCTGAGCTCCAGTCAGCCTGAAGCATCCTCTGTGCTCCAGTCAGCCTGAAGCATCCTCTGTGCTCCAGTCAGCCTGAAGCATCCTCTGTGCTCCAGTCAGCCTGAAGCATCCTCTGTGCTCCAGTCAGCCTGAAGCATCCTCTGTGCTCCAGTCAGCCTGAAGCATCCTCTGTGCTCCAGTCAGCCTGAAGCATCCTCTGTGCTCCAGTCAGCCTGAAGCATCCTCTGTGCTCCAGTCAGTCTGAAGCATCCTCTGTGCTCCAGTCAGTCTGAAGCATCCTCTGTGCTCCAGTCAGCCTGAAGCATCCTCTGTGCTCCAGTCAGTCTGAAGCATCCTCTGTGCTCCAGTCAGCCTGAAGCATCCTATGTGCTCCAGTCAGTCTGAAGCATCCTCTGTGCTCCAGTCAGCCTGAAGCATCCTCTGAGCTCCAGTCAGCCTGAAGCATCCTCTGTGCTCCAGTCAGCCTGAAGCATCCTCTGTGCTCCAGTCAGCCTGAAGCATCCTCTGTGCTCCAGTCAGCCTGAAGCATCCTCTGTGCTCCAGTCAGTCCTCTCAGTGAACACGGAGCTGCTAGGATGCAAGGAGCATCTCAGACCTGACCTTTAAAGTGTTCGTAGTTCAAAGTGACGTTTCCTTAGGATTACCCTGTGTTGAGCTCTAACCCAGTGTGCCCTGCTCTCTGCCTGCAGGCGGTGTGTTCGGAGGACGAGACCCTGAGGGAGATGCTGGAGGTCTCGGTGCATCGCCTCCACGACGCCCTCAGCCCCGCCTGCTCATAGACCCGTCTGCTCATAGACCCGTCTCACTCTGAAACCTTCTGACGTGTTTTTCCTGCTTCTTTAACAAAGACGGGCTCTTTGTTTTGAAACCTGGTTCCAAAGGAATCCCCATGTTTTTCTATCAGTGATCTGTAATAAAACATCATGAACTGTTTTCTAAATGAGTGGTTTTAATCTCACAGAACATCCAGGGTCTGTCTGTCCAGGTGTGTGTTCAGGTGTGTGTCTCCAGGTGCGTTCAGGTGTGTGTCCAGGTGTGTGCGTCCAGGTGTGTGTTCAGGTGTGTGTGTCCAGGTGTGTGCGTCCAGGTGTGTGTTCAGGTGTGTGCGTCCAGGTGCGTTCAGGTGTGTGTGTCCAGGTGTGTGTCAAGGTGCGTTCAGGTGTGTGTCCAGGTGCGTTCAGGTGTGTGTCCAGGTGCGTTCAGGTGTGTGTGTCCAGGTGCGTTCAGGTGTGTGTGTCCAGGTGCGTTCAGGTGTGTGTCCAGGTGCGTTCAGGCAGTGGCGAGCCGTCAGGGCCCTCTAGGCACTCTGTAAGGGCCTAAGATATTCCAAAAAATATTAAATATTAAATATTTAAAAAAAATATATTTTTTTAAAATATATATTTTTTTAATATTATTTTTGTTATATTTTTCATTAGTTTTACCGAAAAAAAACTTGATTTAATTGTATTTAAAATAACATTTCCAAAGAAATAAATCCTTAGAATCTGCCTGTTCAGTCTCTGTTGAATGTGAAGGGTTACATGAAAGAAGCTCGTCTGGCCCTCTCTGCGATTCACAGAGGGTTGCTATAGTAACTGAACGAGAGAGTAATGTCAAATGACAGTACAATTGACCAATCATATCTTCCCTCTAAATGGGTGGGTTTTATTATCGCGGACTTTATGACGAGTTCCGCCCGCTGTGAAACTTTTCTTGTTTCCATAGCAACAACAACTTCCTGTCAACAGCGTGAACTCGCCTTCAAAATAAAAGCATGCCAAATTACACTTAAGACATACAACTGCAATGAAAGTAACAAACACAATGCAATATCATTTTCAATGTCAAAGAACACAAATTGGGTTCACAGGTGTTGTTTTGTGTGGTAGAGGGTCGCTGTCATTGATGCGTTTTGCACCCCGGGCCGTTGTTTTGATATTCCGCTGAAGTATACGCTGTGACGTAATAACTCTTTTTTTTTCTTTTTCGAGGGAAGGGGTGGGGGTCAGAGGGCCTAGGTATAAAGCTCACGGCTCGCCACTGCGTTCAGGTGTGTGTGTGTCCAGGTGCATTCAGGTGTGTGTTCAGGTGTGTCTCCAGGTGCGTTCAGGTGTGTGTCCAGGTGCGTTCAGGTGTGTGTGTCCAGGTGCATTCAGGTGTGTGTTCAGGTGTGTGTCCACGTGCGTTCAGGTGTGTGTCCAAGTGCGTTCAGGTGTGTGTCTCCAGGTGCGTTCAGGTGTGTGTCCAGGTGTGTGTGTCCAGGTGCGTTCAGGTGTGTGTTCAGGTGTGTGTGTCCAGGTGCGTTCAGGTGTGTGTCTCCAGGTGCGTTCAGGTATGTCTCCAGGTGTGTCCAGGTGTGTGTGTCCAGGTGCGTTCAGGTGTGTGTGTCCAGGTGCGTTCAGGTGTGTGTGTCCAGGTGCGTTCAGGTGTGTGTCTCCAGGTGCGTTCAGGTGTGTCTCCAGGTGTGTGTGTCCAGGTGCGTTCAGGTGTGTGTCTCCAGGTGTGTGTGTCCAGGTGCGTTCAGGTGTGTGTGTCCAGGTGCGTTCAGGTGTGTGTGTCCAGGTGCGTTCAGGTGTGTGTCCACGTGCGTTCAGGTGTGTGTCCACGTGCGTTCAGGTGCGTTCAGGTGTGTGTCCAGGTGTGTGTCCAGGTGTGTGTCTCCAGGTGCGTTCAGGTGTGTGTCCAGGTGCGTTCAGGTGTGTGTCTCCAGGTGCGTTCAGGTGTGTGTCTCCAGGTGCGTTCAGGTGTGTGTCTCCAGGTGCGTTCAGGTGTGTGTGTCCAGGTGCGTTCAGGTGTGTGTCTCCAGGTGCGTTCAGGTGTGTGTCTCCAGGTGCATTCAGGTGTGTGTGTCCAGGTGCGTTCAGGTGTGTGTCTCCAGGTGCATTCAGGTGTTTCTCTCCAGGTGCGTTCAGGTGTGTGTCTCCAGGTGCGTTCAGGTGTGTCTCCAGGTGCGTTCAGGTGTGTGTCTCCAGGTGCGTTCAGGTGTGTGTCTCCAGGTGCGTTCAGGTGTGTGTCTCCAGGTGCGTTCAGGTGTGTGTCTCCAGGTGCGTTCAGGTGTGTGTCTCCAGGTGCGTTCAGGTGTGTATAGCTCTGACATCGCACTTGTGTAAAGTTATGGAAAGAATGATAACAGAAAGGCTGACGTACTATGTTGAAATGAACTAATGACTCCTTATCAGAGTGGGTTTAGAAGAGGGCGGAGTACTTTAGACCCCCTGCTGTGCCTGGAGTCTGAAGTCAGGAAAGCCCAAGCGAACATGGAGTGTGTTGTAGCTGTATTCTTTGATGTGGAAAAAGCTCACCATATGATGTGGAAGGAAGGGTTATTAATAAAACTGGACATCATGGGAGGTAACGTATATCATTGGATTATGGATGTTTCGTTTGGCCGTGCCATCAGAGTCCGAGTTGGCAGTTCATATTCTCGAAGGCATGAAGTTGAGAATGGAGTGTCATCAGTCCTCTTTTGGTCTCGATCATGATCAATGATATATAAACACAAGTAGGATCTGATATCGGTAAGTCACTTTTTGCAGATGATGGAGCTATTTGGAAAAGGGGCAGAAATGTAAATTATATTGTAGGTAAGATCTACACCAGGGTCGGCACTTCAGGTAGAGGTCGGAGAAATACCCATTTCTTAGAGGAGAAAACAGTTAATTGTTAATTACTGGGCAAATCTACAGGGCCATGAAGATACTCACCCTACTAAACAAACTGTACACACAAGTTGGGAAAGAAACACAATTAAAAAAGAAAGTGTTTGTGTTTGCTCTGAAGTAGCACTCTATGAAACCTGATGTTCTGTTTTCTTCAAGTTTGTATCTTCTTGGTCGAATGCACTTATTTTAAGTCGCTTTGGATAAAAGCCTCAGCTAAATGCAATGCAATGTAATGTGAGGAATTCAAAGTTAAAGAATGGAATATTAGTCAGACGGTGTTATCAGCTGTTCCACCATGTTGCTACCTCAACCTGTAGTAGATGTATCCTTCATTGAAACGGTTACATTCAAAGAAAGATAAGGTCAACGTGCAGGCGTATGTGAACACTTCATGAACAATATGGCACTTTATACAGATATTTACTGATGGATCCAAAAGTCCAGGAAAGGGTGAAACTAGTTGTGCATTTGATGTTCTTCAAGGTTCAAGGTTCTTTATTGTCAATCTAACATAGCTACAGAGTAATTATGTAGTTGAAAATCTTATGTCACAGGCTTCTCCAACAATGCAGCATAATAACATAATATCAATAAGAGCATGAGCAATACAAAAAGAATAATAGTTATAAAAATAAAATAAAGTGATGATGTGGAATAGTGCAGTACGAGTCTATATACAAGTTATTGGAATGATATATATATATATTAGGTATTAGATACATACTACTGAGTAGCAGTACCTTTCTTGAGTGAAAGGTCAAAGTGGAAGCGAGTGATCACATGGCAGTGTACTCAGTGGGTAGAGGAAGTGCAGCCAATGAGAGTGCTAATTTGCTCTGACTCCAGCTCCAGAGAGTATAAAGAACTTCTCGTCAGTCTGTGGTCAGGATATTCTGCATGACATGTTGCACATCATGTTTAGGTTAGTTCATCTGGGACTTGTTGTTCAGTTTGTGTGGGTTCATGTGGGTTCATGTGGGTTCATGTGGGTATTAGAGGGAATGAGGAAGTGGATCAACGGGCAACAGATGGATTGAAAGCAAAGCAGATTGATATTATATTACCCATCAGTAGAGCAGAAGGCAAATCAGTTACGAAAGTTATTATCAAGCAACAAAGGCAAAAGTGATGGGACAGTAGCACTAAAGGAAGACATACCAGATACAAAGGGAAGTAGGAAAGCACTTGGGGGAGTAGCAGAACATTAACAGCAGGATCACATTGGGTCACTCTGGATTAAACTCATCACTGCATCTGATTGGAAAACATCCAACTGGCAGCTGTGATGGTTGCCAACAACCAGAGACAATACATCATGTATTCTTTAGCTGCTCGGATTATAACAGACAAAGACTCATTCTGAAAACTGCACTGGAACAACTCAACATCAAGGACATGGATCTCAAGACAATACTCACAAGTAACTCAGGTAATGAAGTTAACAAGCTGATCTTCAAGTCTCTCAAAAACACTGGTCTGAGGACCAAGATGTAATATGAAGATTCAATAAATCAACAGTAGGTGGCGATATATGCTCCAAGTGGAAGCGATTCGCCATTAAAGCAAAGAAGAAGAAGAAGTTGTTGTAGTTCCTGTTGTGGCCTGAGGGCAGCAGAGAGCAGCAGAGCCGTTACTACACCGGAAGTTATAGAAGAAGAAGAAGAACATCCAAAACAAACCTTCCACACGTGGCTTCGTTATTCTGTTAAAACTACAAATCAAACTACAGACTGGACCGAGATGGACGAAGATCAGACGGTACTCCCTTTCCTTTGTAGATGACGTCATCCGGAAACAGCTGTTAGCGTTAGCTTTAGCTTTAAAACAAACAAGATATTTTTATTCAGATTTGGGTCAGAATGTCTTTATTTGTCCGAATTCTGAGATAATTAAACACCGTGTGTGTGTGTGTGTGTGTGTGTGTGTGTGTGTGTGTGTGTGTGTGTGTGTGTGTGTGTGATGTGTGGTGTGTGTGTGTGTGTGTGTGTGTGTGTGTGTGTGTGTGTGTGTGTGTGTGTGTGTGTGTGTGTGTGTGTGTGTGTGTGTGTGTGTGTGTGTGTAGGCGGGGTACAGGGAGCCCTGCACGGTGTGTTCAGCCGTGGATTGGGGAGTTTCAGACGAGGGTCGCTTCTTCTGCAAGTCCTGCCACAACGTCATCGAGGTAAACAACAACATTCTCTCCTCATCTCATCTCCTCTCCTTTCTTCTCCTCTCCTTCTCCTATAGACCCTTTCCTCCAAACAAGCAGTGGTTTCAGACCTCACATAATGCAAATAAAGCAGAAGTTGAAATGGAATCAGCGCTGTGTTTCCACAGTGATATTATAATAATGATATGTGTCAATGTGTTTCCATGGACCCCCTCAGAGGAGCAGGGAGGTGGTGGAAACGACCTTCACTCCTGGAGCCAGCCGGATCACCACCATCGGCCGAGGGACCCGGACCAAGAGGACGGGTACTAAACATGCTAACGTTCATCAGGCGCAACGCACACTTCACCTGATAGGAGTCACCTTTTCCATTAGTAGACCCCCCCCCCCCCCCACACACACACACACACAACACAACACAGACTATTACACCCCTTGAGTTAGTTAGAGTTCTGAGACTCACCGTTTTCTTTAAAAAGTCCAAATCTATTGATTTATAGAAAAACTAGAGTCAGAATTTAAGAAACATTTCATAATTTTCAGTGTGTGTGTGTGTGTGTGTGTGTGTGTGTGTGTGTGTGTGTGTGTGTGTGTGTGTGTGTGTGTGTGTGTGTGTGTGTGTGTGTGTGTGTGTGTGTGTGTGTGTGTGTGTGTGTGTGTGTGTGTGTGTGTGTGTGTGTGTGTCAGAGGGTGGGCGGCAGTGGAAGGTGTGTGAGGGGTTCCAGTTCATCCTGAAGAACCAGGCCGACGCGCTGCTCTCACTGGGAGTCACTCCGCTCTTTAAGGTTCAGGATTATTTAACTACTTATTTAATTATAATGTCGTATTATTTTATATTTTATTTATCCTTACATGTATTGTATTACTAATAATACTATTGTGTTTGTACAGTTAAGTGATTTGTGTTATTGTGATGTTTGTGATGGTGCTTCAGGACGCAGTGCTCTGTCCGCTCTGGAGGATCTTCTTGCAGAAGAGCCGGCAGGCGTACGTCCACGACCCGCTGCCGAGCAGCAGCTTCAGAGTGGTGCGTCCCTCTCCTTCATGCTCTCTCTCCTTCATGGTCTCTGTCCTTCATGGTCTCTGTCCTTCATGGTCTCTGTCCTTCATGGTCTCTCTCCTTCATGGTCTCTCTCCTTCATGCTCTCTCTCCTTCATGGTCTCTGTCCTTCATGCTCTCTCTCCTTCATGCTCTCTCTCCTTCATGGTCTCTGTCCTTCATGCTCTCTCTCCTTCATGGTCTCTGTCCTTCATGCTCTCTGTCCTTCATGGTCTCTGTCCTTCATGGTCTCTCTCCTTCATGGTCTCTCTCCTTCATGCTCTCTGTCCTTCATGCTCTCTCTCCTTCATGGTCTCTCTCCTTCATGGTCTCTCTCCTTCATGGTCTCTCTCCTTCATGCTCTCTCTCCTTCATGGTCTCTCTCCTTCATGCTCTCTCTCCTTCATGCTCTCTCTCCTTCATGGTCTCTCTCCTTCATGGTCTCTCTCCTTCATGGTCTCTCTCCTTCATGCTCTCTCTCCTTCATGGTCTCTGTCCTTCATGCTCTCTCTCCTTCATGGTCTCTCTCCTTCATGGTCTCTCTCCTTCATGCTCTCTGTCCTTCATGGTCTCTGTCCTTCATGGTCTCTCTCCTTCATGGTCTCTCTCCTTCATGGTCTCTCTCCTTCATGGTCTCTGTCCCTGTTCAATACTTCAGCAATAGCTCACTTCAGGCCGTGGTATCTGCTCAGTATATCACAGCTAAGGGGCGTGGTTCGGCCCCTGAGCTGTGAGCATATACCACGACCTGAAGCGAGCTATTGCTTTGATCAAACGGTTACCCAGTGTGGCGATATGAACAGCTAGCCAACATCTTAGACAGACAGCGTTGATCCCATTATTTGGCTATTTATTGAGCTGCTGTTTTGTCAACGTCTGAAAGTCTGCCCAGCTTTATCCTGACGCCAGTCTTCAAAGCACTTACAGCCCGTTGTGTTTGCTTCACGGTGTTCTGTTCGTTTGGGTTCCAGTTGGTCTACCTGCTCTTCACGATGCTCTGCATGTCGTCGTTTAGGTGCTCTCTGGAGATAGGCTCTGCTCGATCCACTCCTCCATAGTGAGACCCCCCCCCGGAGGTCCAAGTTAACCTTACATGTTTCCATCTTGAGCTTTGTTAGTTAGTTAGTTTCCTAACGGACGTAACGTAACAGCTGTAACGGTTGTAGCTTTTCTCAGACGCGGAGGGATACTGACTTGTTGTGAAAAGTAACTACAATCTACCCGTGGTATACGCTCATTATATCACGGCTAAGGACCAATCAGATTGCTTGATTTGACTTATCCGTTTTATAAATATAAATAAAACATATATTTATAAAGGTAACCCCTCTCTGTTTCAGGGCGACTCCGAGGCGTCGGCCAGCGAGACGGAGACCATCGCGTCGAGCGCCGCCTCCCTCGCAGGTCAGGCCTCACCAAATATAATAAATAACATCTAGAAGTAAAGCAGGCACTCTCCGGACGTTCACTGAAACATAAACACCTTTAGTCAAAAGTCAAGAGGGGGGAGAGGGGAGG